TGGGTTCTGAAAAAGTAGTAACAACAAGAAACAGATCGATGGATGGAAATGGGATTGTCAGCTTTAAAGAGGTTTGCTTGAAGAAGAGAGTCACCAAACTTTGAACATCGAATTAGGTAAAGAGTGACAAGTCTCCTCTTTCAAGCAAAGCACCTGACTTCTCACCAATTCATTGATTGCCCTATACCTAACTAAACCGGACATAACCGATCTTTTCAATCGGTAAACTAATTCTCTGGTCGGTTTAGCGATGAGTCGACAAATTGAGTGGTTTTGTAATTGACTCATGTATTATTGAGCAGCTCGATTTTTGCATCCTCCTTCTTACACCTAGCTCTTAAACCGGTCGTTCGGGAGATTTTGGTTAGTGATTTGAAAGTGAAAGTTACATTTCAGTTAACCGAACCGTACCATTGATTATGAACTTATTGAACGACCAATGTCGGTTGCGAACGGTGTATACTTAAATGGCACTCACATTTCGCTGAATTATTGGTGACCATACATAAATATGTTTACTAACGCACACGTATTAAAGTATGTGTCTACTTGACTTTAATGGTTATGCAAATTTGGATTCTTCCGACTTCCCCTTTGAGACAAAAATAATAATTATATCTATAGATTGGTTTAAAATAGAGACGTTACAGTTGTTTCTTTCTCCGTTATAAACAGAATTGATCACCACTTTGTTTTGAAAAAACTACATGTAATGCCATTTTTAAAATATATTACAGCTTTACAAAGAATAAAAATGTATTTTGAAAATGCATAACGAAAGAATATGGGTTTTGAGAGTAAAATATGTGTGTATAGTAGACAAACATGTTTGATAAGCGAAGAGAAAAAGAAAAGACAAACATATACAACCATCTTTTTCTGATTAACAGCTATTGTGACACACCATATATACACGTCATACTTGACCACCTTCCCATCTCAAATAGTCAAACATAATACGTTGCTTATAAATTATGCAAATGGATAGTTTTCCATATTCACCGGATACAAATTTATCAAACGATACATCTGAAAGCTTTAGTAATTACTAACAGATAGTAGTCGTATTAAATAAAAGTGGATAACATTAATCCAATCAATTTATTACAGTTACGGTCTCGTCAATTTGTTATTCAAATAATATAGCACCGACTTCTTGAATGATCACATGCCAATGATGCCATATGCACAACCATCGATGGAATATTTACGTGAAGAAAACAAAAACTTGAAATTCTACAGTATTTCACAGGTTGAGTAAAGAAAATAAACAAATAAAGGGTCCACCAACCTGATATCGAAATTAAAAATGTTCCAAAATATTTAATGAATAAGCATGTGTGTGTTTTGAACTGAAACTTTCAGTTACAACATATATGTGTGTTCCCTATGAGTAAAAAAATGTTTTAAAACTAAGAATTGTGTCATTGGGAATCGAAAATTTATAGTTTCATAAACTGCTGAACGAATTTTACTTACTAACGTAAGTTCCTCAATTTATACATAATTTGGTCAACATGCTACTGTACTAAATCAAACAATATATGAAAACAAAAAAATGGTATGGAATATCAAGTTTTTGACTAACAAGAAGCCATGCAACTACTTAGTCACTAGTCACTACTCCAAATGACAACCAAACAAATTCAAGTAAATCAACAATGCATGACATAATATTTTTTCAATAAAATGATTACTAGCTATCCACACGAAAAAAGAAGCGCAAATGCATAAATACCAAAAATCTAAACTGATCATGCATAGACTAAACATATACTAAATAATTGCGAATTAGTAATGAACGATCAATCGATCGTCAAGGCTCAAGGGCATGTCATGTGGTATCATTTTGGACTTGAGTTACACAAGGTCATGGATTGTGAAAAGTTCATGATGACACGTGGATAAAGCTCGTGATGTGGGACCCACGACTTATATAGTAAGTTTTTGCAGTGAGCTTGTGATGCAAAACAGAAAGCATCACATGATGAACAATAATAGTAGTACAGTCGCAGAATCTCTAATTAACTGAAAAAGACCCAACTAAACATTAATAACTGTCTTATTCTCCTTTGCTTTTTTTAATTAATTTGAATCTTTTCTCTTTTAAACTAGGGCTCCCTCAATTTTTCAAAACTTAAAAAGAAATTTATTTCACAATGAAACATGTTTGTATCATTGAATAGTCATTTTACACTATTTACAAACCAATTTAACTCCTCACCTAAATATTCTGAATACGTGTCCTAGGCTAGCTCTATGCTAAAGTCAAGGTCAACCTATTAAAGTGCTTCTGATTCTAAAATATCTATCTACACATGCCGTATTTGACATACCAATTTAACGCATGCATATAGCTAGCTAGCTAGGTTAAATAAATGAATTTTTATGTAATCATTTTCTTAATGTCAACAAGTATTTATCTAATCCGTTACTTAGAAAGCTTGTGTAGGATTTACGAACCATAGAATGATAATAAAACTATAAGACGAAAACAAAATCGTGGTCCCATGTTTTTTGTTTTTGTTTTTAATGGTAATGAAGAAATACTAATAATATTTTGTAAAAAAGAAAATCAAACTCCTATTCATAATGTGTTTTGTTGTATCCATCATAGTGATTATTTAGTGAATGAAGTCCATGTCGCTACAATAATGATTGGAAAAATTCGAATTAGAAATTTAATGGTACAATACAAAACAACAAAAAATAATTAAATTTGTTTACAGGGACAATTTGGTAATTTCAGAAAAAAATTTGAGCTTTGTTTTCCTTTATTTATTAAAAAATTGGAAGTAGACGGTTAAGAAGTCGTTCTGATTTCTTCGTCTCCTTTCTCTTCAACGTCATTTCTCTCTTCCCTGCGAAAAAAAAAAAAAATATCACAGAGACTAATCTTCTCGCGATCTGTGAAAATCTCAGATTCTGGGTTTTGTAATCTCTGGAGATTTTGGTGTTCTTCTTCTTGTTTCTGGGTCAATTTCTGGGTTTTCGAGCTGTTTTGTTGGTTCCGATAATAATGGAGCTAATCGGCTTGAGATAGCTAAAGAGAGTTTTGGGAATTTCTTTCTATTTCGAGGAAAAAAATGTCGACGAAGATGAAAGGAGAGTATTCTTCTAGAAGCTTCGTATATTCCCGGAAATGGTCTTTATTTCTCTGCTTAGGTAGCTTCTGCGTCGGAATGTTCTTCACCGATCGGTATATATCTCTCTCGTCTTCTTCTCTCGTTGCTCTGATTCTTTACAGATTCGTGATTGTTGAATTTGATTTTGACTATTTTAGTCAAAATTCCCGACTCAATGTCTGAGTTTTTTCGTTTTTTTTTTCCTCACTTGGTCTAACTTGGAATTTAAGATCCTGATTTTTTTTTTCAACAAAATTGATTACTCTTTTAATAGGCATAACAAATGTTAAATTTGATAAATTTGTTATTGCTGTTGTTGCAGGATGTGGAGTATACCTGAATCGAAAGGCGTGTCTCGTCCATCAGTAACCGAAGCTGAAAGATTGAAACTGATCTCAGAAGGTTGCAATCCAAAATCTGTGAGTGTGATTTGATGGATTGATTCTTCTTGTTTCATGAAATTTCTCAGAAAATTGGTGTTTTTAATGATCCTGATTGGTTTTCTCAATTAGCTTTACCAGAAAGAAGTAAAAAGAGATCCTGAGGCTTTGTTTGGAGAAGTAGCTAATACGCATAATGCTCTACAGTAAGTCTTTTAAATCTTGGCTTGAAATGCAGAAACTTTGTGATGTTTTAAAAAACCCTTTTGTGTTACCTGCAGGACATTGGATAAGACCATTTCAAGCTTAGAGATGGAACTAGCTGCAGCAAGGTCAGTGCAGGAAACATTACTAAATGGTGCTCCTGTATCAGATGATATGGGGAAGAAGCAATCGCAGGGGAAGAGACGGTATTTGATGGTTGTAGGGATTAATACAGCTTTTAGTAGCCGAAAGAGAAGAGATTCTGTTCGAGAAACTTGGATGCCTCAAGGTTTTAGTTCTCACTTGCTTGTCTCAATCTCTTCTGGATTCTTAATAACACGATCAATTATGTTCCTTGACGGTTGTTTCGGTTCAACAATGTTGATTCTAGGTGAAAAAAGGAGGAGACTTGAAGAAGAGAAAGGGATTATTATCCGGTTTGTCATTGGTCACAGGTGAGAATTCAATTTCCCATTAGTACAATTTGTGAGTTTCATTTCTGTTCTGTTATATTGATACTGTGTGCCATTGATTCTATAGTGCCACGAACGGGGGAATTCTAGATCGAGCCATAGAAGCTGAGGACAGGAAGCATGGAGATTTCTTGAGACTGGTATAGTTCTGATTTAAGTTCACCGTATAGAAGTCTAAGGCCTAGTGTTTAGCTCTTATATTCATTTTCATTGCTCTGTTTTTGTTGACAGGACCATGTTGAAGGGTACCTCGAGTTGTCAGGGAAGACGAAAACTTACTTTTCTACAGCGTTTTCAATGTGTGATGCAGATTTCTATGTCAAAGTAGATGATGATGTTCATGTAAATATAGGTAAAGTTCTAAATGTGGAAGCCATTCTATAAGGCAAACAACTTTAATTTCATTTTGAATCCATTGTGCTGGTAATAATAATGAGTTTATTGAAATATCTGCAGCAACTCTTGGAGAAACTCTTATTAGACACCGGAAAAAACCACGGGTCTATATCGGTTGCATGAAATCTGGCCCTGTCCTGTATCAAAAGTAAATCATCTCTCAGTTTCCTCCTTAAAACCATTTTTTACTCTGGTTCTTCCTTTTGTTAAGTTATGTTGGTTTTATGGAGCAGAGGAGTGAGATACCATGAGCCAGAGTACTGGAAATTTGGTGAGAATGGGAACAAATACTTTCGTCATGCTACTGGACAGATATACGCCATTTCAAGAGACTTGGCTTCTTATATATCAATCAATCAGTAAGATGAGGATGAGATTACATTGGTTATCCATTGGCTCATCTGTTAAGTCTCTTTGTTCTTATATATGTTAAAATGTTTCAGGCATGTTCTTCACAAGTATGCGAACGAAGATGTTTCGTTAGGAGCTTGGTTTATCGGAATTGATGTTAAACACATTGATGATAGAAGATTATGCTGTGGCACTCTTGGTAAGTCTAGGCCTTATTTGATACTTTTTGGATGCTTCAAGAAGTGATATAACTCGAATCAATGTTTTGAGAACTTAGATAAAACGTCAACATTTTTGGTGTTCTGCACCTAACTACAAATCATATCTGCTTGAAGTGAAGAAAACATTATCTAAAGAGATGACTCGTCCCTTTCAAAATCTCTACTGATACCAAGTCTTACCAAGAACCATAATGTTTCAAATCAAATCTTACTTTCTTGTTTCAAACATAGCACTGTAACATGAAACATACTGAAAAGATATAGTTTTGGTATTGCAGATTGCGAATGGAAAGCGCAAGCTGGAAACATCTGTGTAGCATCATTTGACTGGACCTGCAGCGGAATCTGTAGATCAGCAGATCGCATCAAAGAGGTTCATCGACGCTGCGGTGAAGGAGAAAACGCTCTTTGGAGTGCTACATTTTGACATGTACAAAAGGATCAATGCTAAAAAATAAAAACACACGGTTTTGTTCAGCCCCCAAAACAGCCTCAAAGAAAAGACGAAGGTCCAGAGATACACAATTCTTTAAAGCTTCTTAATATCACCAAAATATATACATAGGAGAGGAAGGATTAGAGTTTAAGTGTGAAAATCCCTTGGAAAGAATCGCGATTGCGATTGCGGTTGGATACGTTACGGTTGTGGCGTTTCCATTTTTAGCATAAGGAAACCAAAAACGCTACTGGTGTTTTTGTTCATTTTTGGGTGGCTTGGAAATGAAGCAACTTGTGGATTTTTTACAACAGTTCAAAACAACTATGCAATGCACTGATTCTTTTTGGCTATAAAACTTTTGCATAGACAGAAATTCATAAACAGAATCTAAAACTAACTAATTTGTCTGAATGTTGCAATGTGTCCTTGTGAAAATAAAAAGTTGGGAAAGTAGTACAACATGCATTACTTTTTTTGTCGTCACACACACTTTGGTTATATCGCTTAGCTACTAAGGTTTTGGTTTCTGAGGTCCTACAAGCTTCTTCTTACTCGAAACCTCAGTGAGAGAATTAAGACTCTGGTTTCACTCGGTGACTCCGAAGAGGTTAATTTCGACTTGAGAGTCAAGTGGTCTTTCGTGTCTCAAACTGCCTTATTATAGGTCTGATTCTCTTTGACTTTCCTTGTTTCCTCTTCATATCTCTTCTGTGGCCACCAAATT